AATTAAACTTCATTATTCTGAGTATTTAAATTTTGAGTATTTTAAAATTAAATCATAAATACTCAATGTCAATTAATTACAAACCAATTAAACTTCATTATTCTAAGTATTTAAATTTTAAGTATTTAAATGTAAATCATAAAATACTTAATACTAAACATTTATCAAAAATATAAAAAATTTCAAAAAAATTTTTCAAAAAAAAAAATGAAAAAATTATGAAACGTCACAAAATCACTATAATAAATTTAACTTAATTACTATGATATCAATCAATAATAAATTAAACTTTTGATAAAGTAAAAAAATCATTATTATTTACTTCATTATCAATGATCATAAGTATATTTAATAATTTTTTTTAATATTAAAAAGTGATGAAATTTATTTTTTTTTATTAAAAAATGTCTTCTCAAAATCAACAAGAACAACAAGAAATCCAAGAACATGAAGATAATTCTTATTCCTCTTTCTCGTTACAAACAAGACCTTTAATTTTAAAATGTTTGATTGAAAATGTAGAACTTGAACTTGCTGATTATGATGATCAAATTTTCGAATTAAAAAAGTATGATATTTAAAAACAATATAAATTCAAAGCTCTTGTTTTTTTTTCAATTAGAAATATTTCAAAATGAAATTTACAAATTACATAACATTTGATTATAATATTATTAACTGTAATGATTTTTCTGATATATAAAATTTTTGTCAAAAGAATCAAAAATCTGATCAAATTATTACATATCTAAAACTAATGAATTCAATTTTGATGAATTTAAAAAATATGTATTATTAATTAATACAGGTCTTTATGATAACAAAATAAAATATAGCTTACAGATCGATTTTATTGAAGAATGCTATATGCTATGTATAACTGAAATTATACAAAATTCATCAACAATATTTGTTAAAGAATATATTTTTTATAATAATTAATTTTAAAAATATGTTTAATACTAAAATAATTTAATTTATTATGAATTTGTATTTTAATATATTATAATTGTTATTTTAGTTTACATAATATAAATAAAAATTATAAATAATATACAAAATTCCTTTCTGCTAAATAATTTTTTTTTTACAAATGTATTATTTTTTTTAGTTATTTATCTTCTAATGAATATAAACAATTATCTAAAGATAACAAAAGATGATATCGTAAATTAGAAAACAACATGAAGAAATACAATATCGAAATTCTATTTGGGGGTTTCTTAAACTATATGTAAATCATAATTTAATTTATGATATAATTAAAATTGATGATCCAAAATTATATGAAAAATTTATATCAGCAATAAATGAAATCTTATACTGGACAAAAGTTTTTAAAGTTGAAGATGAAGCAAAATTTGTTAAAAAATATAAAAGAATTTTGGCTAAAATGGAAGCATCAACAAATCCCAATAAATATATTATTAATCTCTCAACAAAATATTTGAAATACAAATTTAAACCACATTTATATAAAGAGAAAAAAAAATTGTTGATATCAATTACAAAACTTGAATACTATTATCAAACAGTAAGTCATAAAAAGAAAAAGCATGATAAACAAAATACAAAGAAATAAATTAAAAACAAAACTAAACCAAAAAATAAACATATTTCTCAATGGATTAAAAAACAATATAACAAAAAATTAAATAATACATCTTCTTTTAAATATAAAATTAACATCAATGATAAAGAAATGTATAAAATTCTTATACAATACATACAAGAAATTCTATTCATCTGTAATCATAAATATAAAATAAAGAAATCTAATCATCTTATAGTCCTTTATCAAAAAATGCTAGATAATATCTTAAATGCAAAAAATTCTAATAATTATGTTATCAAATTAGTACAATGATTATATATTAACAAATTTAATTCTCATCAATATATTTTTAAACCAGATTTAATTTTCTATATTAACTTATTAATCGATTTATTTAAAGAAATTGTAATTCAAATAAACCAAAATATTATTCAATAAAGATTATTATTATTATTATTATTTTTTATACTTAAACAAAAAGCACAGCTAGTGATTTCACTATTTCATTATTTTCACTCTCTCCCCATTTTTTTTTTAACTAAAATGCTCTCGAGCTGAGCATTTTGGAATAGTTGAATGCTTGCATTTAATGACACAAGATAAAATTAATTTAGAAAATAAAAATGTATTATCACATGCAGTAAGATGGGCGTTCATTTTTAATTTCAAATTCATTTTATCGAAGTAAAGCCTATCTGGCTCAGAAAGACTAGCTATACAGCAATGAGCTTTATATTTTGAATGAAAATTTTTTTTATTAAATTATTTTTTTGAATTTGAACTAAGTTTATAAATTTTAAAGTTATTACAAATAAAAGAATACAAAAATATACTTAGCAAATTAAAATATAAAAAAATATTAGCTAGTACTATTTAATTAAATAAAATATATTTTTTTAAAATTTTAACAATTTAATAAAATCTAAATACCTCAGCTTCCTAACAACAAAGCCTGTGGTCCCACAGGCATTAGTTATGAAATGCTAAAACACATCAGTTCTGAATGC